TAATTTTCGACAAATGATTAAAATACTCAATATTTTAATACAGGTTTTCTGTGCGATTTATTTGATTTTATAAGGACATCGAACATCCATGACGAAAATGTATGCTAATTAAGTAGTCATTTTTACAGAGTGTAGTTTTTTTAGGCGGCCGGTAAGAAGTTTGCCGACATCCTTAATTCACTAAAGTATCATGGGATTATGATGCACAGTGATTAATCTCACAACCTTACTTAAGTAATTTTTTTCGAGTCGAAAACGGATTTGCAAATTTCGACTGACGTTTCATGGTTTAGCACATCTTCTGCATGTAAATATATGTTTGGAGTCAAATACGTTTCTTGGGAAGACAGAACACCTTATTGACTACATTGTCGACTCTGGTTTCCCAGGTCGTTGTCAGACGTAAAGCCAAAGTTTAAAAACAGCTAGCAATTTAAACCTCCCTAAAAATCGATACTTGATCGGTTTTTGCTCCAGTAAGCGGTCACCGTGTGCGTCATAATGTGTCCTCCGCTTCTCGTCTCTTCCATTTTTCTTTAAGATTTTCGTAAATGGCATTTGACTCAACATGACGGTGGTTTCATGACACGTCTAAGTGCATGACACGTCTAAGTGCATGACCACGAGTAACTCCCGATCATATATGTATTATTAACGTGACAAGAAGAAAACCGTCTAAAAGATCCCTCGCGATGCCGACGACGCCGTATGTTGTGGTCAAACGGAAAAATTTGCCTCTAAACGGATCTTCAAGCATAACTGGCCGTTAATGGCTGAGACCATCTGTCCGAAGTGGCTATGCATACCCTGGATACCGGGCATATCGTCGGCGTCTGCTCTGCCAAAAAGCCGAGAGTTTTTTTCGAATTCATGCACTCAGAAGAGTCAGGCGTCCATCGGCATATTGACTTTGATGTCATGTACGAAAATCTCAAGAGAAGATGAAAGAGGCAATTAGCACTTGATGCATAATGACGAACACGATGGTCGCTTACCTACGTAAACACCGATCAGGTACCGATATTTTAAAGTGGTCTGAAATGTTTACGATTTTTGGGGCATTTGCTCAACCTCCGAAAACGACCTGGGAAACCGGATTCGAAAAGGTACCCAATAAAGTTTCTTGACTTGTGACTCTGCCTTGAGACAAGGTTGAGCTTAGTGATGGAAGAGTGAATGCGGCAGATGCAGCGCTAGTCTGCCGCAACTATCAAATAATTTCTATTTTTTCTTTATTGCCTCGGTCTTTTTCTACATGTGTGGAAAGGTACTAACGGGCCTAGGGCTTCCTTTCTTGCAGTAAATCCATTTGTTCCCATTTGTTTAATTTTATGATTAAAAGTCGGCTGATGTAGACGCGGTATGAACTGATTGGCTAACGACATCCGTAAGCATTTATAAAAACCCCAATTTTATAGACCTTAACACGTTGTTGAAGTATACTTGAGACAGAAGTACCATTATGTTGGCGAGGTGTATAATACTATTCGTCATAAAAACTACATACTCCTGCTTTTCAGACACGCCTACGTTTGCATCTAAGGAAAAGAGTAAGTTTTTGCGTTTCTCTTTGCACTTCTTCAATTTCACCATTTATCTCTTTCACTAGTGACCACAATATTCTATATATTTTGGGGGTTTATTTCTTCGAAACCTCTACCAATATTCCTGAGTACAGAATACTTAACCGAACGCAATCAAACTACGTCGTTTCACTGCAGAGTGCACTATACTTTTCATTTAAAATCAAAACCAGGCGTTCGCTATGCAGGTGTATTGAGCAGCTTATACACATGCAGGGACTTTGGTTGAATTAGGTGACAGAGATTGACGCTTTTAGAAAGCTATGAATGCACATTTTATCATTTTTATAATGTGAGCGTTTACTTCGGCATCCACCAAGGTCCAGATATTTTGAGAAATCTGCTATTCCGAGCAGGAACTGAACTATGCACATTCAAGGGCGATTCTCAAAGCACTCGTGGGTATTCGTCCGATCCACACACAAGATCAAGTGGAAGAATTTGGACCTCTCACCCCTAATGCCTTTAATGTATGTTTAGCTAAAAGAACACTTGGTTACAAAGTGAGTAATTGATCTTAGCCTGGGAGCGAGCTTCTCGTCTACGCAGCCCAGCATTATTTAGAAGGGTTTTTCTAAAAAAATTGTGTATATTTGCTGGGCTAAGGTGACAAACGCCAAGTAAGTGACCGGAGAATGCGTTCAACTTCCTTCATAGTGAAATGACTTCAGTAAAATCCACCAAGCCTATGGATGTACCACTATGTATAAAGTCTATTTCTGTTATCCAAAGTATATGAGACGTTAGACCGGACTTGTTTCCAGTGGTTGAACACAAAACTGTGTCGTTTGGATTGCCCAATAAAGTAAAATTATTACTGAAATGTCAGAAACAGGCGTGAGAAGGGAAAGTTGGAAGGCTAAAACAGTTGCGGGAGATTCGGCCGAATGTGGTTTGTTGCTTACGAAAGTTTCGAACAGGTTTTTTACAAATTGTAGGGATAGATACGGACAGTGACAAGGGAAACTGTGGTGGCCGTTCCCGCGAAGTAATCGTTGTCAGACAACCATGTTTCAGACCATAGTTAGGATAATCGGGGTTCCGACATGGGCCCTTCGTTCTTTGAACGTTTATGCAGTGCTCTACCAACAGGCCACGCGTATCTTGTTTGTCAGTTGAGGTTGAAAGTATTTGATAGTGCGAGAGAGCCAATCACCCCAGTGCTTGTCCGTTATGTTGCGCACTGGAGGCCAGCACTAGAATCCCCCTAGTAATTAAATAACGACCACAATGGGGTATGACTGGCTGACACAACAAGCCAGGCGTGACCATCTCAGCACGGGGACTAGACTAGGTTCCCGCACATGCACATGGCAAACTGATACAAACATTGGGGATGTAGTGGCACGCCCTGGTACAGACCCACGTCGCGACAGTGGGAACCCCAGTCGCCACCGTTTTTCTCGTTGTGTTAAATGCTGGTCAGTGTACGTTGTGAACGAGGGGATAGGGCGATACGCCTACAGTGCGTGACCTATCTCATGAAATGTTGGCTGAAATTCTGAAATGCGTTTTCGATTAGGAAGGATTACTTGGTCGCGGTTGTGATAGTGATTATCTTGCGGCATACTCTTATAACATTTCGGACGCGGTAGGATGTCGGCTTTAAAATGCACTTCTTTTCAATCTCCTGTAAAAAGCGTGCTTGGTAAAAAATGACTACTTAAGTAGCATGCATTTTTGCCATTGATTTTCGATGGTCTTGGAAATTCAAATATATTTTATAGAACCCACAAACAAAAATGTGCTTTCTTTTAGTCAATCAATAGACAATCACGTCTTCTTTATATTTTATACTCAAGAAAGGAATATTATTAGGTTTTAAAAAAGTTTCTAATTATGAGACTTTTTAAGACCGCGATATGTCCATTCACAAAGCATCGTACCTGGCCGTTTACCACTGCTCCTCATAAAATGTACAACATGGTCCGCATCCATTACAAAATTTTATGGACCCTGTATGATATCTCTTTAATGGCATAGAAAAATATGGGATTTCTTTACGCGGAACGAATGCACCTTGTAGAGTGTAATCACTAAGCGCTAATGCAACGAATGATCAGGCTCCAAATTTTTCGGCAATTAGAGAACTTTTGTACATCCTCCCCTTAATGTCAGTAGCTACCGTTTGCGAACATATTGTGTATTTTAGACACTGAAACGACGCCACCTTGGCATATCGAGGAGAAGGAAAATGTAGAAGAACCTGTAGGGACATTTCTTGAGCGCAGTATTTCCGCTCTGAACCAGTCCCTGCGTTCCGTGATGAGAAATGAGGTATCATATTCCATTGTCACCAGTCTCGGCAGTGTTGTCGCCAAGGGAACCTGTGAAATTGTGCTACTCAATCACGAAGAATACTATGCCTGTACAGATCTTCGACTACCACTCAATTTCGAAGTACTCTATGTAGGTTAAACTATCATCTCATGCAATGCGTCTGCTGAAAGTAGACTACTTTACAAACGTCAGGACTAAACTCTCATGTGTTTCTGTTTTGTCAATTTTAGGTACCCAGCACTAACCCCTTTGTCATGTCGACAAGGACAAAACATGTTACCGACCTGGTGGCAAACATTCCTGGACGAATTACTACCGACCCTGCGCAACACACGTGCGCTATCACTGCGCTCTATTTAAACAGTCTCGTCGACGAGAGATCCGAAGGCATCTCCTTACCCTTCGATTATATCTCCATGAATAACATAAGGGGAATGATTAACACAACAATAGCGAATCTGATGAACAGTATTCCTCTTAGATGCTAGCACTGTCATTCGAGTGGACGAATACAGATGTGCACTATCCTTTTTCTTGTCTCTTCATAGTTTTTTTTCAGTAGGGTGCTTCCAACTGCGAATACTTAGGCGACACACCATAGTATTAAGTGCATTCCGCGTCGGAATGCAGACGTTTAGTCTGTCAAAAATTCTTGTGGATTGCAGCGTGAAGGTTAGTAAGAGCGAACAACCTCTTTGCTTCATGAGACCAGTCAAAGACAGCCGAGACATTGTTGCGCCGTTCAGTCAACTGGCAGAATGAATTAGGATAACTTGCGCTTAAGTATGGCAGGTGAACGACCATTACTAAACCGTAAATGAGCATAGAGGAAGCATCCACCTTTGATAGCATTCCGTCCGTGAGATAGACGAAAGGGCAACTGTGAACATCTGTCGGGCAAACGTATCGACAGTACGAAAACCCCGTCTGCGCTCTCATATGTGCATATCAAACCGAGATGGCAAATGGGGAAAGGTTATTTAGAGAGAAATCGCTTTGGTCCCACGAATTTTCCAAACTAATTACGCCAACACGCTCCGAGACGAACTGAACAAAGCGAAAGTGGGATTATCACAAAAGAGCATTTGGATAACAGGGGTTGCAGAAACAGACGACTTGTGTGTCAGCCGAACTGCGATGGGTTTCGGGAAGAGAGGTAGGACGGAAGTATGCTGGCTACTCCGTATCCTGGTGGAGGAGGAGGAGGAGGAGGAGGAGGATGAGGATGAGGAGGAGGAGGAGGAGGAGGAGGAGGAGGGGAAGGAGGAAAGTTGTGTTGGCTATGCCACAGCCTCAGGTTTGTCCCAACTGGGTCGCTGGTCACACCCGAATGCGCACGCAAAGACTACGGACTGTCTGTTTGTTTCGCTAACTGAAGTAGGGTTTTGCCAGTCAGTAAGCGTCCGCCGCATACGCTACTGTTCATCGATCGATTCCCATCTTTTCGGCATTTCTCTGACATTTTTGTACATGACGTCTAAGTCAACATGCCGATTACAGCATGACTCATCTGAGCGCATGTGTGTTTAAGATGTTCTCGATCGTTTTGGTAGGGCAGACGCGGACGATGCGAGTCCTGTCTCATGCAAAGCCATTGGAGCTAGCGCCACCAAGCAAAAAGACACCCTTCCGACCAAGGAAGCTTCAGAATTGTACTAAATTATCCGTTTGAATTATTTTCCCGAAATGGTTGTCCTGGAGATCTTGTATGGGAAACAGGAGTCAAAAGAGAAAGAAGTAGACAGATCCAAGCATACACCCAAAGTGAATACTTGGCAAACTTCTCTCCCTTTAATAAAAAAAATGTGATTAGATCGCAGTTGGTAGCCAGGAATGAGGAAGGGAACGGCGACCTTAAGCCTAATCCTAACCTTAACCCCACCATAGCCTTAAACGTTAATCGTTAACCCTAACGGCAACCTTAAGCCTTACCGAAATCGTAAACGTAACCGTAGCCCTTAGACATAGACCTAACTATAAAACCTAACCGTAACACTGAAATCTACTCGTAAACTCAAACTCTAACCATAACCCGAAAACCTAAGCCTTATGGCATAATCCTAACCCGAAAGTCGGACACAATTAACCGGAATCCTAATCTTAACCTCGAACGTAAAACGGAAGCCAAATGACTCAGAAGTAATTATGTAGCCCCACAAAAAAAGACCCAGTAACCAAACCCCCGCCATCTGTAATACGGCGCCTGGCTACCCAGTGCGATCTAGCCAAAATTGTGTCTGAAATCGTTGAAAGACATCCGAGAAAACATCAAATGCAAGTGGCGCACAAACCGACGAATACGTGAAGCAGTCATCTGATAGGATAGGGTTGGTTATCTGCATAAGAAGGAAGTCGTATGCGGAATCCTGTGCAAAGAGTGCGATGCCGTATATTGTGGTCAAACTAAAAAATCTTTCTCCGCACGCACCCACAAGCATCATATAGCTATTAAGAGGCGGGGCCACCTATCTAAAATGGCCATGTAAATACGCAGGTCGGACGACGACCTCGGGGAATCAACACCGATAAATTATTGGTAAAGTTTCTACTTTTCAAAAAACACGTGATGTTATTTGATTATATTTCTTGGAATGCTTATCCTCGAATATATATATATATATATATATATATATATATATTAATGGTAGTATACCGTACTCCCGAACTAGATACTTGCTAAAAGCCTTTTAGCAAGTATCTAGGTCGGGAGTACGGTATACAACCATTACCATATGGAATTCATACTACTCGTAGTACTACTTGTTTGTAGAATGGGCATTACGTAGTTATTCCACAGTAGTTGATTGATTTCGACTCAAATGTTCATTGAAATTTCGGTTCTGACCCTAAAAGGTCATGTCCCGGAGATTTAACTCCAAGTTCTGCACTGATTAATTTCTGAAATTATTCACCTGATATATATATATATATATATATATATATATCTATGAATAACTGATGTGGTGTGCATTCCGAGGTGATATAATGAGAAAGTGAAGGCTCTTCGG